GAGAGAGAGAGAGAGAGAGAGAGAGAGAGAGAGAGAGGGAAGACGGAGAGGGAACCCCTGTCTGCAAACAACTGCACGCAAACCTCCCCCTCCCCAATCGGATTGTTACTAATGTACTGTATCTATCTATTGTATGTTTGTATGATACTTGGTGGAATGGTATGGACTGAAATGGAACTGGCTTGGCTGGGATCGGAATGGATCGGATGGGAATATATAGATTCGGAGGTATGGGAACTACAGAACCTGCACAATGCATACAGAGGGGAGAGGGAAAAAGCGATATATACACCTTCATATACACACATATGTACGTATATAAACCCTGTGGAAAATAGTTATATAGAATCGGATTAAGACTGCCTGGATGCTCTCTTTCTCTCCTTCTCGATCTCAATTTCTCTCTTCCCCTTTCTTTCTTTCTTTCTTTCTCAGTAAAGTGGGTGGTGGTAGTGGGTCGGTATATTTTCCCTTTTTTGGCTTTCTCATTTGCATGCGTTTTGCCCGATTTGATCCGATTCAAGGGGGGAAGGGGGGGGAGGGGGGAGGGAATGTCATTCTTGCAGCGTTTGGACTGGCAGGTACGAACTACTAGGTAGATAGATAGGCAGATATGGGCGGGCGGGGGGCGGCAAGAGGGCTTAGAAGGGGGGAAAGAGTATGTATATACGCACACATTGCATATATTGCATATATTGCATAGTAGTATATTGCATATATTGCATATGAATATGCATACAAACGCCCAAAACGCCAAACCATAAACAACAACAACAACAACAACAACACAAAAAAAAAAAAGTCTCTTATCTATCTCTCTTTCTCTCTCCCCTCTTAGTTTACTTTTGTGCAAGGTATATTTCATTACACACAGCGTCGTTGTCCGTTCTCTCTTTGCCTTTCTCTGATGTTGCGATTTGAAGACGTAATTGATTATGAATAGATATCAAATCAAAGATGAGCTTTCGTGAATTATGGTTTGGGATGGGATGGTCGTGCTTGTGCCTCTTCGGAGCGGAGATTATAGAGAGAGGTACCTACGCCGGCTAGTACAGTACAGTGGAAGGCGTGAGGAGGATCCGCGGAGAGAGAGAGTTCTGCGATTGTAACGCCCTTACTTCTATAATGTGTAAAAAAAAAAAAAAAAAAATTCGGCTCGTAGTGTGCTGTGTGCTATTATGTAATTCAAGAAAGGACAGGGGGAGGTGGTAGGTGTTAGCTCCGTCGTTCTACTCTGAAGGAGTGAGAAGAGTATAGAAAAAACAGGGAGAAAAAAAAGGGGGGCAAAGAAAAAAAAAAAAGAGCGAAAAGAGAGTTTAGACGGGAGACATTTAAAACGTAAGTAAATAGATACCGGCCGGCCAGCCAGATGCCGGCCGGCCGCTTGTTCCAAAGGGGAAAGCCTCTAGAAGCAAGTTAGTAGTAAGTCAGGAATGGAAGATTCGGGTCGAATGGGATGAAACCCCGTCTTGGTGTGTGAGTCTAAATAAAGTAGACAGGTAAAGCATATCGTAGTGCCAGAAGAGAACTAGAACAACAAATAAAGTATATATAAAGTGCTACCACAAGCTCCCTGGTAAAAATTCAGAAAGCGAAAAAGTTGCAAAGGCTGAAAAAGTGAAAAGTCCTCGTCCATCCCTCCACCCTGCTTGCTCCCTTGTCCTTGTCTACCTCCGCCGTACCGACGGACTACTTAGTACTTAGTAAGTACTAGAAGTGCTACTAGAAGTAGTAGTACTACTACTACGTACCTACCCCACCCTTTTCAGATCCGGATCAGATCTTGCCAAGTGTGTGCGTGCGTGCGTGCGAGTTCTGAACCCCTCCCTTGGGCCTCTGAGTCCCTTTCTTTACCGAGAGCCCCCAAGACGGGAAAAGGTTTACCCTGACGAATTTGATCTGTCAGGCTTTCAGCTCAGCACAGCGCGGTCGGGCCAGGCAAAACGAAACGGGACTACCGACACTTGATCCGTAATGTAGAATATAGTATAGTAATAGCGCCGGGGAACTCGTGCCCGATCGTTGGACTAGGACAAGTAGTACGTAGTAGTACATACTACTAGGAGATGTTTCGTCTCACTGCTATCCAAGAAAAGGTAAACACAACTAGTAGTACGTAGTAAGTAGTAGTAGTATGCTTGCTACATACTACGTACAGTACAGAGTGAGTAAGTCAGAGCGGGGCGGACAGATTTCTTTACTTAGTCGCAGTATCCTGGTTTAGTTTAGTTTAGTTTGACCCTTCCCTCCTTTTACACCTCCGACCCAGAAACAAAGCAACGGAACTAAAACAAAGCGATATGATTTTCTTTTTTCGTCTTAGGTTTTCGATGACAAAGTGATTGGAAAAAGGCGCGGATGGAGAGACTGAGCGCAGGTGGTTATCTCGCTGGGCTAAGGTGAGATAGTGCTTTCGTTTCCTCGATCGACAGCACTGATACGCAGTATTTCTTCAACCCCCAGCCCCTCCAACCCCCTCCCCCCCCCATTTACGTAGTACTTTTGAAGGGGAGTAAGTAAGCTAGGGGGCGCCGAGATGCGTTCTACCGAGGTGCGTTTGACCGAGCCGTGGAGTAGCAGCGCTCTGTTCGGCACCTACTACTCACTGCCGCTGTGGCTATGCATTTCCCCCTTTTCGCTAAGAGAGTTTTCTTGCTAGGAACTATGAGATACGGCGTAGAGTACCCGCGCTCGCGCTGGTGTTGGCGCTGGCGCTGGCTCGGTGTCACCCCGTCGGCAACCATGCCGCAAGAAGTCAAGCACGAGACGTCTATTGAATCAGGGGAGGGGTGCTAAGCGAGCCCAGCCGAGTAAGTCGGCTATTTTGTTGACTTGCACGGGTCTCCCTTTCCCTGTTTCTCGACCTCAGATATGCTATGCCATGCTTGTGCGAACAAATACGAGAGACAGAGAGAGAGAGAGAATGGTATCCCGGGCTAGGACTCCGTAAGTGACAGACTGGTCAGCTGAGGGGCAAGATCGCTTCGGTAGCTTAGCGCTTAGCGGCCTGGGTCTCGTGCTCATGCAATGTGAGGAATTTGACTAGGGAGTCAATAGTCAGTCAGTTTGGTGGAGTGAGACCGGCGAGGGTGAGCTGGCTGGCTGGCTGGCTGGCTGGCTGGCTGGCTGGCTGCTAGATAGGTACGTACGTAGTAGTAAGTAGATAAGTGAGAAGGGTATTGACGCCGTGGCTCTGTGCGAGCTACATACAGCGTCCGGTCTCAGATGCGTGATTTTCTTATCATCTCCATCGTCGTCGTCCATCTCGCGCCCGTGGTACAAGACTTTAGATGATGAAGCTTCTCTCTCTCTCTCTCCCCTCCCTCTTTCGACCCATTAGCCCGCTATGCCATGCCAAAGTCAAGGATCAATCCCGAAACGCGATAGAGACTACTAGCTAGCCAAAGACCTCCGCATCAGTGCTTTTTCACGTCTACGGAGTATTTCCCTTTAGCCATTTGGGGCAGGAAGTTCGGCTAGCGTCATTGTCGCTAAAGCGCTCTCGTGTGGCAGCCAGCAGGCCGTCCGGACCCTGCGCGTCAGCCAACCTGATCACCTGCTCACCCATAGCCTCTGCTTCTGCTTCTACCTCTACCCTAGCCTCTTTCCGTACCAATCAATCAAATCAAGTCAGATCATCTCCTCATCCATCCATCCATTCATCCATCTATCCACCACAGTACACCCCAACAATCAATGCACCGTGCCCGCAAACCCACCCGAGCCGGGTAAGAGAAACCCTCAGATCAGCTGGCAGGCAGTCAAGTCTCACCATACCGAGCAAGCCAGCTAGCCATACCAAGGGAAAGTTGTGCTACTATACACCAGCTTCCACGGGATTCTGGACTTCTTCTGGCGAAGAAAAGAGCACTGTGCACAAACGAAAGTCAGATATCTTTACTTTACTTTCGGAATCTGATCATTGACTTCTTTCCTAGCTACAATTCCGGGCTACTTCAGTGTATTCCAGGTACCCTAGCATCAGTCCGCAAAGCATTCCGGAAGCTCCTCAATCTGGTCCTTCTTTTCTCCAGCAGCTTGTTTGCGTGGCTCGGCCGTCACGGTGGGTGCAGCTGGGATAGGCTGTGGCTTCGGAGGCACTCTGACAGCTTCGTATCCTGAGTGGATGTTCCCGACCGCAAGTATAGAGGAAGACTTTCGGCTTCTGGTTCTTGGCAGATCGAGATCACCGTGGTCCTCGAAGTTGACCAACTCGTATTCCAAGGCCTTAACAAGCTTGTAGACGATGACAGCAAGTATAACGCCCGCGATTGGTCCCACCCAGTAGATCCAATGGTAGCTCGGGAAGGAATGATTGACAATGCATGGTCCCAAGGATCGGACTGGGTTCAGTGAAGCACCGGTCCAGAACAAACCTCGCTGGATATCAGTATTGAAATGTAGCTATGCAATGGAGAACCTACCAACGAGTTGCGCAACGAAGAACGACATGCCAATACCGACCGGAGCGAGATAGGTAGCAGCATGTTGTTCCGCGGCGAGCATGAAAATGACAAAGGCCAGCTGAGCAGTTAGCAGCATCTCAATCACAACTCCTTGAGCAGGGCTAGTTCCACCTCCGAGCTTTGTACCAGCATTGAGACCGCCGTTGAATAGCCCGTAAACAACGTACGAGGCGGCAATTGTTGCGGCAGTCTGGGCGACGCAGAGGAGTGCACATCGCGCCCAAGTAATTGCGCCGATGAGGGCCATACCCAGAGAGATCTGGCATGGCTGTTAGAGGCTATGGCTTTTATAGGCTAATAGTAGGATTTGGTCTCGGAACATTCAAAGGCCCCCAAAGTCGCGAGGTCAGGTTCCGCTCTCAATGGCGGAGCTTACCTACCACGGGATTGAACAACCCACCACTGATGCGGAAGAACGTCCACGCAGTAACTACCAGAGCAAAGCCGGCGGAGAGCGCAGCATATAGCAGCTGGGACGGAGAGGCCGCAGGAGGAGCAGTTGAGACGCCTTCCCCTTGGTCCTTGTTCGACGAAGCACCAGCAGTCCCGACACCTGCAAATGCGAGCGTGACGAAAATGAGGGTACCGAGAAACTCGCCGAGGAAGCCCACAACGTGGCCACGCGCAGAGGGATGAATGAGTTTGAACAGGCCTCTAAACATCTTCTTCAGAGGATCGGCGCGAGCGAGGCTGGTACTGTCGCGACTGGAAACCGTCGGAGCCCGGACCAACGACCCCAATCTATTGTCGTTCATGACGGCGGGACTCAGCAGGCGATCACCCATTCTGAAGTTGGAGAGAGGTCCTAGTGATATGCAGGAGGTATCGTAGGTGGAATAGAGATGGATAGGAATAGGTGTGCCGCGGAATGTGATGCTGAACAAGGGTCGGTAATAGGAGACCTGGGGCGTTGGAAACTGCAACTCGTTGGGGGGGAGGGCTCATGGCGCCTTCCAACTTGAAGCAATTATATCAAAAATATCAATGTCCGCCTCAACTTTGCTCGGCACCTGCCTGGGATGAAAGTCGATATTTGAAAAAGTGCAAAGTTTATTTGCATCAATCAGGCCAAAACATTTTGAAGGGATGTAAGGAGGGCCACCTAAGCGAGCCGACGATTGGTAAGATTGGGTATTTATTGACATCGGTTAATAATTTCAACGCATACATACATGAACAATCCTCCATACATTCTTAAAAACTTTCTCCTTTCAACGAGCTCTCTCCGGTCCAAACGTTTTTAAAGCGCCGTATCAGGTTCTTCTCACGACTATAAAATCGAGTACAAAGTCGGCCCTTCCCCACCGCTCTATCTCCCGTTCCTAAGCGAGAGACATCATCACGTTCGAAAAGCAGTCTATCGAAATCTGCGAAATAGTGATTCATTGTACATCGAAAAAGAAAAGAAAAAAAGGAAGGAAAAAAAACCATCGAGCCGCACTCGTAAAGTTCAAAGTCTCTTCGATAAAAAGACTCTCAGATCGTAAGCGTTTCGAACAGCACGTTTCAAATACCTGTTCGGAGATCAGATTGATATCCATTCAAACCACCGATTATAGATATATGTAATCTCGTCGAAGCAAGTTGCATTTTAGATATGTTTTATAAAAATCTCTTGGAATATACTACAGGTTGATTGTAGCCAGCGCTTGCGTACGAAGCTCAGAAATCCCCGTCTTTCGCTAGCCAGAGAGGGCCCTGAGAGTTGAGATCAGGACGATATCTACATCGGATTCAAACTATGCTCCGCGTCCTTGCCTGGAACGAGAAATCAACATTAGAGAAAAGGCGATTGAAGAGGCTGCCGGAAAAAGAACCCTGTTGGAAGCTATACATTGAACCTTGAAGAGTGATACCTAGATAGATGCATGGGAACTTATAAATTGCAATTGTCTCAGAGCGTCAATCCCTTTCGGGAAAAATCTCACAACTCAGATCTGACTCTGGCTAACTATTATTAATGAGGAGAAGGATGTAAAAGTGAGGTAGAGTAAAGTCAAACTGAACGAAGTAAAGTAAAGCGAAACAAATTAGAACGCAAAAGAGGACCAAAGTAAACGCTCATTCAAAACAAACAAAAAGGCACAGCAACGCTCAAAAAGGAGAGTGATGGAAAACACCATCAAGATATACATCTATACACCGGAAACCAATAAGAATATAAGAATTATAGATGACACGGCAAAAACCAGTCGCAGACAGACCGCCCGGATTCTTTGACGCCGCGAAGAAGGCGGAATCTCTGATGGGATTGAGAAATGCTATCGATCCATCATTGCAGACAGAGGCGGGCAGCAGGAAGGAAGGAGAGCCCAAGGGCCAGTCGATTATCAATCATAGGTAGCGTACTATATATATATATATATATATATATATATATATATATTAGTACATAGTATTACTCTCTCGTCCGTCTTC